TCCAAATTATAAAATTTTTCACCGGGTCTGATGTACATGGCAATTTTGGTGAGTTTTCGAGTATGTTTAGGGCCTCAAAAACGCGTGTCTTTGGCACGAATAATAATAATAATCCGAGCAGTTCCAATAAGGTCTTCACATCCTTTTGGGTGCTCGGACCCTAATTAGAGGGTTTGAAAACTTCGAAGTGACCAAAGTGGGGCTGGGGTTTAGGAAAAGGTCAAACTCTGACTGCAGCATGTCGTCACAGCTGGTCGGTCACTACACCACGTTTCCACTGAAAACATACACTTCTAAAGTTATTTACAGCCTGCTGATAGCTTCCCTCTTTGTCCCGTCTCACCGGTTTCATCACACTCGACACGTGTCACGTTTTAACGCACACACACATCATCACACTGGAATGCCAAACACACTATTTTTTGCTCGCGGATCTGAAATCTGTCGTCGCTGCGTTTGTATCTGAAAGTGGAACATTTGTTATCAGTCCTGAAGCTTGTTTCCTTTCACAGCGTTTTGCTCAAAGCCACCAACAAAAGCTCTTCCTTGGCTGTCTGAGGCTTATTAGCTTTGGCGATTTGAAACACCATAAATGATGCACAGAGAGCGGCGTCTTTGCTGTTGCTTGTCCTTTTAATTAGTTTTGTCTCTCTGATCCCCCTGCTGTGGCTCAGTATGTCACAACAACTCAGAGTTTAAAAACTGGCTAAGCAGCCGCTGCAGCAGAAGAGGAAGAAAGCGAAAGGAATCAGAAAGGGAGGCAGATGTGAGTTATTGTGGCGTGATGCCGCGTTGATGCTAATTCAGGTCCCAGCTGATGCCTCGTTAAGCAATATCTCACATAAGCCTTGATGAAATAGAATCAGCATCGTTGTTAAATACATCCACACGCATACATTTACTCAAACTATTTGCTCTGTAACCGTCCAGGTTGTCTGACTTTCTTAAATCGTATTTTTAACGTGATCTGTTGAACTGAAGCCTTGTAAAATTAATATGGAGTAATTTTATATGTTTCACCTTTACCTGGCTTAGTTTAGTTCATATTCCCACATTGTGTCCCTTTTCAACACATTATTACATTTCCAATTAATACGTTATCGCCTGAATGTTTCTCAGTTTTTTAGCAAAGATGGTTCAGCTGCACATGACAGTAGAACTGGTGGTTTTAGTCCTCTTCTTCAACTTATGTGTTTGGTGAACTGGTCAGACAGTGCAGCTGGTATGACATCAGTAGTTGATCGGTGCAGAGCAGCAGCTTGGAAATGGTCCTGAAGTGAATCCTGGTTCACAAGAAATGCAAAATGGACTTTGTTTCATCACTAGTTCATACTTGTTCTGTTGTCTGACAACAGAAGAATGAATGAGGACAGCTTTATTGGGAACTTAGATCTACCAAAATGCAGTTCATGGAGCACAGAGAGTATTAAAGAATCAAATAGATGTAACGAGTTGAAACTGACCAAGTTGAGGTTTCACCAACAGGCAACATGAAAACACAGTAACCCACCCAACCAGTGTTTATTTACTTCTCCCAAAGCTTCCAGCATCTCTGAATATCCCCCAGCATCGTGTTTTCCATCAAAGCTAATGGCAGCGTTAGCCACTTTAGCTTCACCGTATGCTAACACTAACAGTAATCCACTGGGTCTTCAGTTCCTCACATGCTGGGAGTGCATGAGGACTTGTGCTTTCCTTGTGAGACATTTTAGAGTCAGCAGAAACCCGGTGGACCATGAGGCAGCTGCTGGTTCTGAAAGGATTAGAAAATATGTGGAAAATATGAAGCAACCAATAACAGAGTAGTCTCAGGTCACAAAGGAGCCGCTGGGCCTCGAACAGGAAGTACGCAAGTTTACACTAAATTCATTGGAAACCAATTGTTAAGAATGTTGACCTGACCAACAAGTAAAAGTTTATTGCAATATGTCATTTAGTTTGTTTTAACCATAATTAACCCTCAGATCCAAAAGCAGTTTCAGGGTGTTTTTGTTTTTTCACGTTTTTACTCCCTATGGGTTCATTATACTGGGCACTTGATGGAACCAGTACAACCACGGCTAGAAGTATAGACTCAACAATAACTTCAAAAAGTTATGTGTTACAGTTCTGGCTCAGATAAATGATGTTTTCCTGCTTTTGTTGTTGTTGTCTTTCATTGCTGCTGGCAGCGTTTGAGGTTCAGAAGCTGAAGCAGCTTTTACTGGATGATAGTAAAGGTGGAAGCCGTCCAGCGTCCCACGTTAACCAGGAGGTCCTGACAGTCCTCACACAGTGGTTGAGCCACAGGAACGTCCTCAAGAGGCCATAAATGTGCTTCTAGTGACCGTCAGAGCTGCACCAGACACCCTGTGTTTCCAGCAGGGAGAAGGAAAGTCTGACAGTAGCTTCTTATGGCTATCAGCTCAGACTACAAAGTCCTGTGTTCGTTCTACACTGAGCAGCGGTCAGTTAATCTGCCCCGTGTGACCCTCCACATCACACACTGGGCAGCCACAAGGCCTCCTGCTGCATCACTTCTCTGTTCTGCTTCTTGAAAAACGCTGCAAGTGAGGATTCTGGTCCAGTTTGAACAAAAGCCTCCACAATGGACGAAGCAATCCTGCATGTGTTGGAGTAAAGAAAGATGTCAGCACACCGAAGAAATGAGGAGAGGATGAAAGAGGAGGAGAAAGTGAAAGAGGAGGAGGAGAAAAAAAGAAAAACTCTTCAACAACTGGCTTGGACAGCTGGAACCACAAAGTGAGTCTGACAAAGAGGAGCTCCACCCAGATGACTGGAACCTCTTGAACAAATCTAAAATACCTGATTCTAGGTGCAGCAGATTTTCTGTCAAGACTTTTTCAAGAGACTGATTTTGGCTTCATGGGAAACCAAAGTCTGGAGACCATGAATGTCTCCCAAAGTCTGGCTTGCTGTTGTCAAGATATCTCAAGTGTTGAGCGCTTGATTTGGTGCCAGAAGCTCCTGAGGTGATCTGAACATCTCACAACGTGCACCTGGGCTGTTTGTTCCATCGCTGGTTCTGTTTGTTTGGCTGCAGAGGAAAAAGAAGCAGAAAACAACTAATGAAAGCTCCAGCAGCAGCAGACAAATGGGCAAAATTAGGGTTTAAAATGGAAACACTGATTCATAGGTTTAGCCCTGACCCGCCGTATGTTTTACTACCATTTGTGGCTCATTTAATATTTAGGACAATATTTCCCCCCTACTGTAGCGTTCTTGTTTCTTCCCAGGAGATCCGTGTGCTGGCTGGCCAGCCACCAGAGCTGCAGAGAGCCGGCTGGTTTCCACTAACTCTTAATGGAGATGAATTATTGTGGAGGGCAGCCTTTTATAAATGATCACTTTTACAAATGCAAAGGGTCTGAAGATGAAGCAAACTTAAGACAAACGAGTGTATTCCTCAGCAGTTATCGTGTCGTTATGAGAACCAGCGTCAGTCGATATGAACTTTACAGTGTTTTGTTTATAAGCTGTTTTAACAGAAGGCTGTCTCTGTCTGTTTTTGTCTTCTGTGTTTTTTCTTTAAAAAGAGAAAAGAAAAAAAAAACCTCCTCCACCGTTAGCGGGATAACAAAGAGAACAGATCCCATTCTGACGCCCTGATTTAATTTCTCTGTTCACTTTGGTTTAAATAGATGAAATATACCAGCGGAAGTGGACTCACGCTGAGTCGCTTCTGTGAGGGACAAATGATGAATTGCACTCAGTAGGTTGTTCTCATGAAATGTATTTTATGTCATTTCCTGGTGGTTAGCGCCGTCGCCTCGCAGCTAGAAGGTCGCTGTTTCGCATCCCGGTGAGGACACCTGGGAGACTCCATGTTCTCCCCGTGCAGCGTGGGTTCTCTCCGGGTTCTCCGGCTTCCTCCCACAGTCCAGAAACATGCTGAGGTTAATTGGTGATTGTAAATTGTCCGTAGGTGTGAATGTGAGTGTGCTTGGTTGTCTGTCTCTAAGTGTAGCCCTGTGATAGACTGGTTACCTGTCCAGGTGAACCTGCCTTCACCCTGAGTCAGCTGGGATAGACTCCAGCCCCCCATGACCCTGGTGAGGATGAAGGTGTAGAGATGATGGATGGATGTCATTTCCTGGAAATCACCACAACAACATGACTGCATGCAGTTTGTCTAACACGTACACGTCGCGTCACTGCAGGTGTTAAAAACTACTTTCTGCTGAGATAAAGACTTTCTTTGCTCAGTGACACAACAGCAGCAGTGAGGGAGGAGAGACTGACTGAGCCCTCATGTCTAACCTTCCTCCTGTATGTGCTTGTTTTTAATCTCAGGTCTGAGAAAGCCGGAGAGATCGCGACCATTCCACTGACTAAGGTAAGACCCTGCACCGCTTTCTGTGTGTTTGTAGGTGAAGTGGAAAGTTTACCAAATCACTGTTTTTCTCCTGATCCACACCTTGAGCCAGTCAGTGGAGCTGATGAAGCTTGTTGGATGAAACATTTACTGGAACTGGAAGAAGCCCAGTTGAGTTCTAGATATCACCTGAGTGACCGATGCATGCAGAGAACAACTGGCTTCACTTAGAGGTTTAGTGAGACCAACACCTGCCTTGAAAAGTACCTCTGGCACTTCAGCAACGCTCTGGTAATAATGAGACGTTTGTCACTGGGTTAACCCCACAGTGTTCCAGCTAAGTTAACCTTCTGGTAACAACGGCATTAATCACAGTTTTTGTTGTAGTTGTGGTTAAACTTTGGGCAATCTTGCTGTAAATTTGCACCATAGTTGGAACACTTTCATACGCAGAGTAGTTCTGTTGAAAATCTAATTTGATTATAAATGACCTTGCTGTGACTACTGTTTAGACGGCGTTACGTTTTTATCTACACAAAAACCAAACCGAGATCTTCAGCAACACGTCCTGATGCTCATGGTGGAAAAAGTCCAATAACGTGTACAGCTTTTTAACCTGCAGTGTTTTGTTTATTAATTAGCAGGTTTTCTGTGTCTGTGCTCCTGATTGGAGGATTAATATCGAAGCATTTAAGGTTCTGTTTATGATCAAAAACTATTCCTGTCTATCTGTCCATCTTCCCCCCAAATTAACTTGCTGATGGACGTATACATGAAACCCAACAGGTGATGAATGAACCAGCGTGTCTGTGGTGAACGCTCAGTCAGGTGATCCGGAGCTGCAAAGCACAACTTCAGCCCTTCACCACCTGCACTCACTGGAACTGTCAGGGAATCAGATCTGGGACACAAACATCATCATCTGGAGCTGACTTTACCTCTCATCTACATGGTTCCAGTGCAGTTTCAATCAAAACTTTATTCTGCATCACACACACTCTGGAACCTGAGCAGTGTGCTTCAGCTGCAACTCAACATCGCTTTTTGTTGCTGATTTAAATGAACTATTAATTTATGAAGTCATTTCTAGATCCTACAGATTTTCTACAGATTTGACATATTTGTCCATGAGGTCATGCAGGTGAGCATCTGAAGGGTTGATACCTGCAGCCTCAGTGGGTCGTATTTAAAGAACAACCTGGTTATACTTTAACTTCAGCTCAGATTTTCTTTCATCATCTTACATTGAAGTGGTACCATCAGTTATGCGGAGTGCTCCTACACGCTACACATGCTCAGGTGTTTTATTTCATATTACCGTAATACTCAGACTATTGAGCACACCTGAATATAACTGAAAAGAAAACTAGTCATGAACATCTACAGTCCACACCTGCTGCAGGTGTCCACGTTGTTACACGGAAAGACTCCATAAACTTTTAATTAAATACGTACCGCTAACGTACACAAATACGTAGATGCTTTTTCCTGAACACTTCCTGTAACACGGCTGGTTGAGGAAATAAAACTCCAGCAGCTACCAGGAAAAGTCACTGATGGCTATCTTCATCTTCCTCCTGCACTAAAACCACTAAAGTCGTCTTCTTCAGTGTCTTCAGGAGCTGAACAGCCTCAGAATCACTTCATCGCTCTCAGCGTCACTTTGGTCTCGAGGTGAATTCATAAAAATCATAAATCAGCCGCAGCGTTGTTTAAGCCGCAGCGTTCGAAGTGTGAAAACAGTAGCGGCTTATAGTCCGGACATTACGGTAAGTTTTAACATTAAGTGAGAAGAATTTCAGTCGTCGGCTTCTTGTTGTTTAAACTGTTCATAAAATCCAAACTTTAAGCCTCAGATTCATCGACACAGCAGATGTTAATTGGCTCATGACACCTGAAGCTCTTCCTGCCAGCGTTTCTTTCTGCAGCAGTGTCGGACCAGTTCCTCCATCATTTAACTCTCAATCATTTTAGTTGTTTTAGCTTTTAACGCTCTCGACTTCTTTTTCCAACATGTACAGCTTTTTTATTTTACAGCAGGAAATGCATCTTTGCTGCCATGACTGGGCCTGGTGGACGCTGCTTGGCTTCACGCTGGTCTCTTGTTTCTGGAGTGAAGTCAGAGTCGTGTCTGGAGTGGATTTCACTTTCGCTTCAAAGTTGATAAGCTGAAGTGCTACTTGAAACCACTGAAGCATATTAAACGATGGTTGTCGTGAAAAATAAATGCTCGAATCATTCATTATAAATAAAGCACTGCTAAAGATTCAGCCGCTAGCAGAATGCTAATGAGGAGACGCGGCTGAGGTCCTGGTGGACCTTTAAAGTCTCCAGCGATTATTGAGCGCCAGCTAACAACGGCGATATGATTTATCTCCACGTACAAATGCACTTTGCTGCTATCACTGCCAGGCCTACTGTAGTGGAACAAGAAGGAATGAAAATAGAGAACAGTAAAGATATGAATTAGAGGATAAAACATCAGGCTGCAGCCAAACACTCTGGAGTTAACCAGCAGGCACAAAGCAGTGATTTCACTCATGACAGTATCTCAGAATGAGCATCTTGTTCTGCACTGGATGATAAAAATAGAGTCACTTAAACATTTATGTCGTGACTTAATACCTACAACTGCTTTGAGACACGCTGACAGTTCAACTAAGTCCATTAAAGAAAAGACAGAATCCACAACAGTCACTCACATAACTAGAAACTGAACAAAGTAATGATAAATAACAATTTGCTAAATTATAATTTAGTGAAAGAAGACATTGATTTTGAATTGTGAGTGAAAAGATTTTTTTTTTTTAAAAGCACATACAACAGACCAATGAGAGGCCTTTGCTGATGAGCAGTGGCCCAATGAGAGGCCTTTGCTGATGAGCAGTGGCCCAATGAGAGGCCTTTGCTGATGAGCAGTGGCCCAATGAGAGGCCTTTGCTGATGAGCAGTGGACCAGAACACCTGTCAACAGGTGTAGAAGTCTGACTGAGAGTTACAGAAACACCTGATGGCTGTGATTGGCTCAGAGGGTCGTTCAGCTTAGTTTATGGCTCCCATCATGTTTGTTTGATTGTTTTTTTGTTTTTTCCTTCTTTAACAGGAGATATGAATACATGTGAGGACGGCTGTATAATAATTAGTCTTTGTTAATATGATGAGGTGCTGAGATTTTTGATTAACTATAGTTTCTTTAACCACTTGATCAAGAATGTGTTTTTTAATTTAATAAAATATTGAAGCTTCAGTAATGTTGGCTTCACAATAAACAGGAGTTTCTATGGAGCTGCTGAGTTTTTCTTCACTTCCGTGTTCTCTCAACAATCGTTGTGCTGATCTGGTCCGGTTATAGTTTAGGAGACTTTAGCTGCATTTGTGTTTTTGAGTCTGTGCTACTGGAGCAGGCGTTGATATGTTTCTACTAACATGTGAAGCTGTGTTGCATCTATGACAGAAGTTCAGGCACAAATCTACATCAGCTCAGCCGTCACGACACTAACACACAGCTGCTGCCTGTAGTTTCAGCACAGCCAGAAAAAAACTCATTCTGTTGTGTAAGTCACAGCTAGAGTCTGTCTTGGCAGCACATGAGATATTCTGCCTTTCTGCATCATACTGATGGTTTCTGTAGCCATGGCGTCATAATGAGGGCGTTAACAGGTGGTTTAATTCAGGCAGGACGGCGCTGGAGGCCGAGGAGTACGATGCTCGGCCCGCTACTGCACATGAGACACTAACTGTGCTTCTATGTTGGTGGTGATCTGTGTTTTTTTCTCCTTGTACTGTTTTTGAAGCAGTTAGTTTTTTGCTGAATGTATTTTTTTTGTCTCTGGATGTTGAGTAACGAACACTTTGCTTTAATGACACAATAAAAAGCCGCAAAAGAAGCTCCTGTGTGGCCTGTAAGTGCTCTGAGAGCCACTCACAGAACCAGAAAACAGTTTGTGGTGAAACCAACCACAGCAAGATGTGATCAGCGTGTGTTTGGTTTCAGTTACACAGGAAGCTTCTTCTGCTTTCGCTCTGCTAACAGCGTCCTGTGGTGCTAATGGAAACATGCAGCAATAAGCCGTAGTGGCTGGCCCGGCCCGGCCCGGCCCGGCCCGGCAGACTAATTGGTAGTCGCAGATCGCACAATGGAGCCGTCCTGGCATGACCTCGTAACTCAGGAGAATAAAAGTGCATCAAGCAAGAAAATCCACACATATTATCAACATAACTCAGAAATGGAGGTTGGATGAGCACAGCTGGACTAAAACGTCTCTGATTTGTTAGAACAATCAGTCCTGGAGCCAAAACGAACTTTGTGTGTCCTCAGAGAGCCGAAAGTTTGCAGGTTTATCTGTTGCTGTGGTGCCATTGAAGCTACAGCTGAGACTCCTGCAGGCATGTAAAAAGTTTGCTTTCTAAGTGTGCACTATATTTCAGTACACAAACCTCCCTTCTTCCTTGTCCTGCCCTCATTATCAACATCACCACCATCCATCACCTCCACCCGCCAACCCCCTGCAGATTATTAACGAGCGGTACCGGGCGTACTCCTGGGTGGCCGAGCTGATCCAGGTGTTCATCGCCATCAGCGTCACCGTGTCCTTCCTGGTGATGGGATCGGCCATGAAGCACACCAGTAAGTTCCCTCGTTCTGTAGTTTATTGTTCTAGCAAGCAGCAGACTTTGCAATATAGAAGCAGTGGATGTTTCTCTCACTAAGATCATAATGAATGTTTAAGCGCTGAAATGTTTGGTATCGACTGACTGCTGTGTTTCTGTCAGTCGACGGTCTGGTGAGCTCGCTGTGGACCAGCAGGCTGGAGTGGCTGTCTAAAGCCTGGGAGCGAAACCTGCCAAACAAGCAGCACATGTGCTCAGCAAAGAGGTGAGGAGTTAACCCAGAGTGTTCAGTGTGAGAGGACGCGTTGCCAGAGTTCACCAACATCAGCTGCTGCTACATAAAAGTTTGGAATTTTCCACAAAGCAGCTAAAAGTTGAACCATTTTAATAGTTAGCATCATTTTTATATGGACTTAGAAACAGCTGTTGTGGTCCTGATGACAGTACCAGTACCAGTACCAATACCAGGTAGTTTCACTTACTGCAGATGGCTCCAGTTAAACTTGGACAAAGTGAATGAAAAACAAATTAATTCTTACTTAGCAATAGTTTGAACAATCAAACTATTCGTCATGTGTCATATTTTTGCAGCCGTTCATGGTGTTTGTTCCGGTTTGTTCTGGCTCAGCCCCCCATGACCCGAGTGAGGATTAAGGTGTAGAGATGATGGATGGATTGTGTGTCTTTCAGACCAACGTGTGCGACCACCACAGCGTCCTGCAGCAACACGCCGTCACATCGACTAAATAATCAGAAAGTTTCAACTAAAAACTTCTCCAGCAGCCTTTTTTTTACAAATCATGTGGTGCAGGTTCTTACTTGTTTGAAGACACGTGACTGTCTTCTCATAACTTTAGTTTAATGCAACAATAAAACCTTCATCAGGCCACCGAGGAGGAAATTTGCTTCTAGCACGAGACTTTCAAAGTTTCACTGCAGCGTTTTTCTCCAGAAGCTGCTGATCTGACAGGAGGTTTACTCTGGTCCTCGTTGGTTTATCAGTTAATCTGCAGGATGTTTCCTCTCACTTCACATCAGTGGCATCACCTATAACTCATCTGAGACGGTCTTCACATCCTAACGATGACTGATTAACTCATGCTCTTCCTCGCAGCATGGCCAAAGGATTCATGTCACTGCTGGGGTTCAGCATCATCTTCATCGTGTCGGTGTGCGATCCCAGGGTAAATAACACACACACACACACACAAAGACACACAATCAGAGGTGGTGGTGGTCTGACGGGAATCACCAAAGTTTCACTTCTCTTCTTTTCTTTTTAGGGTTTTGTTGTCATGTTGGACAAAGTTGTGTCGTTCTCCCTCAACACTGAAGTCGGACTGTTTATCTTCATCATGCTGAGAGAATCCAGGGAAGACCGATTCCAGTGAGTAGCTGGACAGATGTTTGATGTGCAGTGAGCAGACACCAGCACACAGCTTCACAACACATGAGTCCAAATGCACTCATGTCATTTAATTAGAACCCATCTCTTCAACTTCTCTGTGTTTTAGTCTGATCTGCTCTTTTGAGTCTCAGATTACAGGATGTGTTTGAGGTTTTGAACACGGCAGCAAACATCTCTCTGCTCTGGAAAGCAGAGTGTTGACGTTCTGAGTCGAGAACGAAGTCCGACTCCTTCAGAACTTCTAAACGTTAAACAGAAGCAAATCCAAGTCGTGAATTGTTGGACTTTACTGTGACTTTGTTCTCTGCTATGAGCTGCTGCTGCTAAATTATTGTTTAAAGAATCTTTAAGTCCACAAACCGTCTTATTTCACACTTCCTGTATCAGCTTGTTTCAGCTCTTTGCATTCAGGCCCAAGATATGTTGAAAACAGTGAACCCTAAACAAACTTCTGTCGGTTTTAATGTTCGACTGCACACATATGAGATTACATTACTTCCTCTCTGCTTGTCTTTGCAGGCAGCTCGCCGTCCCTCTGCCGGTGGGCGACTTCGTGTTCAGCCTCAGCTGGCTGCTGCCCACCTACTTCCTTTTTGCCGTAACGTACGACGTCCTGCAGACGCTGGCCGACGTGGCTCATTACCTGCCGTTCTACAGCCACGAGCAGGAGCCTCGCGTCCACAATCTCACCGGGAGCTTAGCGGCAGCAGCCAATCTCTCCGTCCTGCTGTAAACCCCCAGAGCCCAGATAAGGCGTCCATCAGTTTAAATTGCCAAAAATCAGAAGCTTAGCGTGTGCTTTTATCTCGTAGTCACACTTAACAAGCTTTTGGTACCATTTTAAAGATAAGCGTTATCTGTTTCTGACGGCCAGTTTTTTATGTTGTTGCACTGCACTTTCCTCAGTCCACCCATCGGTCTGCCGGTGTGGCCAGCAGGGGGCGCTCTTCTATTTATCTCCATGCTGGCTGCTCCTGCTCATGTAAACTATACAATAGTTAGTTTTTAAAATTACCAATAAACTAGAACTATTCGTTTGTGCCAGAGGATTTCCCAGCACACACTGGGAAGCACATGTATGTCATCGCACAAAACTTTTTTCAAAAATGAATCGAACTCGTGTCAAAGTTTGATTTAGAACGAATTTTATTTGACCAAAAGGTTTCTTCTAGCTAGATTTATCACAAACATGTGATAAAAGACATTAAGACACTGAGTTAGAGTTGTTAGTGATGCATTTTAACTATTTTTTAAAAAAACATTTTTATTAAAAAAATGCCATTTTCAGAATCACTCATACCCTGAAAATGGTGAAAATTTCTTTGAGAAAATTTAGTTTCTGTAAGCTAGAGGTGCTTTCTACCATCTTCTACAGCGTTCTAATACGATATGAATTTGAAAAAGGTTTTAATTCTGTTGTCAGTTAATAGTGAATTACAAACCGTGGCTTAAACCAAAGAGTTCAGTGAGGACTCGTGACTGCTCATAAGAAAGACTGAAGAACCACAGCCGAGCGTTTTTAGGTTCCAAAGTGCAAAGAGGTAGGAAGCCAAACGTGACTCCTACACCGGCGCTGAATGTTAGCGAGACCTGCAAGAGACCAAGAAGAATCCAAGAACCACCACCAGGGCCGTCCTGACCAGTCTGACAGAATCTGGTACCAACATCTCCAGACAGACACTCCAGTAGACACTTTAGAAGGCTGGTATCTATGAAAACCAGCCAAGGAAGATCCACTTCTTCATAACAGGTACACAAACGCTTACCTGGACAAAGAAGCCTTCAACATGATGAACACCATCCCTACAGTTAAGAGGCAACGTGATGCTTTAGGGGTGTTTCTGAGGTGATTGGTGACCTTGTTCAATGAGAAGAGACCACCTGTACATACTGGAGGAAAACATCAGTCTGCAGACACACGTGGCAGCATTCAGCCTTCCAACATGCAGCCAAAGTGGTGAAGAAACGGTTTACATAAAACAATATGAACATTGTGAAGTGGCCCAGCCAGATCCAGACCTGAACCCCAGATCCAGACCTGAACCCCAGATCCAGACCTGAACCCCAGATCCAAACCTGAACCCCAGATCCAGACCTGAACCCCAGATCTAGACCTGAACCCCAGATCCAGACCTAAACCCCAGATCTAGACCTGAACCCCAGATCCAGACCTGAACCCCAGCCAGAATCTGTGGAGGAAACTTGAGACCAAGAAAGCCTTCCGAGCTCAAATACCTGGAGATCATCACAAACCAGGAGTGGAAAAGCTTGTTAGCAAATAAAGGCTTTGCCACTGATAACTGAGAAGGGGTATGAATAATTCTGGACATGGCATTAAAAGTGTAAAAAAGGTTCAAGTTCATCACGAACATTTCTAACACAGTATCGTCTTTTGTTGCTTGTTCGTTCTGAATCAAACGCTGACACGGCTGCTGTTTGTTTGGGGCTGAAGCGTCTCTGCTGAAGCCTCATGCAGACGTTTATTTAAATGCTAATGTTTTACTTTCACTTTAGCGCTATTATCGTGAAGCTAGACGTTCTCTTCTGAAGGGGTCCCCAGACTTTTCTGCTCTGTGGACCGTTTTTATACCGACAGTGTTGCCGTGGACTCTGCAGGAGCAGAATGGATCAGAACCACATCATCACCTTGAAAGGCTCGATGACTGAAGCTCCCAGCGTCTGTTTGCATGCACGCTCACAGATTTAATAGGTTTTGTTTCAGGCATGATCTCCTCTATTTATCCTGCTGACGCACAAACAAGCCTCGATATCTACCGAGAGAATGACAGAGAAGTTATTATTATTATTATTATTATTATTATTATGATTGTATATCTGATTACTTTTCCAGAGCATCTCACCTCTTTCTTTCTATTCACGGCAAGATGAAACTGTGCAAAACAAATACTTTATTGTGGATTCTAACTTTTGATTTCCTCATGGTTCTACCAGCTTAACCCTCTGAACTCCAAAACATGTCGGTGGGCTTGTAAAGGAAATTTCTCTTTGGCAAACTTGTCATCACCAGAATCTGTGAAAACAGGAAGAATGAGTGGATTTTTATCTGTCATGTGACTTTTATTCAATGTCTAATTAAAAAATTAACCAAATTGTTTGCAGCAATTCTGTAAAAAGACTAAAAATTCTGCAGCACAAAGCCACGAGGAGCTCCGCTGCCACCAACAGTCATCATTTAATTTAACTTCTCGTAGTTTAATCAACTGGACCTGCTTGAGTTCCTTGAAGATGTTCCACCTCTGATCCAAGAGGCTTCATCAGCTCTGACTGACTAGTTGGGAGGTCCAGATACTGATATCCTTTAAGAAACTCAAGCAAGTCCAGTTGCTACGATTAAACTACCAGAACAACCACGACCTGGACGACTGAGAATCTTCACAGACAGTTTCAGGGACTGTTTGGTTGAACTGCAGAGAGTAAAAACTGCCCACGAGCTGCTCGGGTTCAGCGGGTTAAAGCAGAGAACGTAGCATGCTGCTTCAGTTTGATTGTCCTCTGCTGTGCACCAGCATGAGGGAGGTTCACGCTCTTGGAAATCAAAGTTCTTCTGGTTTGTTAAAGGCGATTGTGCTTTTCTGTTTGAATAAAACATGAGTTCATGACCGTCGCCGGCTCCGCGGTGTCACTTCTACACACACACACACACACACACACAAATAAAAACGCAAAGCTCTTATCAAAATATATTTTATTCTGGACTTAAGTTTCACTGATCTGACTTAAATGATGACAGATGGATGTGACGATGCGAGCTGCAGAGAGAAACAGAACAGAAAAGGCTTGGAGAGCCGACACGGCGGCACAGATAAAGGCTGACTCAGCGACTTTGGCCAGGTTCACCCAGACACACTGTGGCACAGGCCGACGCCTCGGGGGAGGGCGGCTCTGTCCGGGTGCATGAACTTTTGGATCCCGAGTGTTTCATTAATGCAGGGAAGAAATAGTGCACAGGGCTGTAAATAGGAACACATGAAACCTCCAGAAGTCCAGGTGTTGAAACGTCCAATTTATTCGAGGAAGGAATTCGTTCATCTGCAGCCGTACAAACGTTCCTCCGGAGCAGAGGGGCCTCAGAGGCAGGGTTTGGTTTCATTCAACCTCTGAGTGACGCCAGACGAAGGCTTCAATGGTCACAGATCTGAAATGTTCGGTCAGGATTAGATTTCTTTTTTGGCCAATGCAGAATGATTTTGGAAGATTTGATTCTCAGTGAAGCGTCGTCTCAGTGTGGGAGGGAGTGGACGTTTCCTGCACAGAAGAAACACTTCACACACAAATATTTCATAAAATGATTTCAGGTTGTTTTACTAAAGTTGGCAAATAGGAAACACACCAAACCTGGAACTGCTCAGCGGCTGCTTTCACTGAGCACAGATCTGACTTTAAACTGGATTTATTTTTGTTTTTTTGGGTGTGAAGTTGTTTTTTCTTTTGCAGAAAACGTCCCGTCGTGCGCTCACAGAGCAGCTTCCTCCACAAAACATCTGCTACGACTCCCAGCTTTAGCTGTCAAACAAAGCGGGGACTGAAAAACTCCCCGGAGTCTCGGCTCCATTGAAAAATTACAATCTTATTGAGTTTTACAAGTTTTTTCTTTTTAATGTTTTACGAGCTTCAGAAGAAAGTCGTTTTCTCCCTCGCCCGTTGTTCCGGGACAAAAACCTCCCAAAGAGATTCAAGCAAAAGAAAAAAGTAAAACATTTCTTTATTCAAACAAATTTAGTGGTGATTCGCTGCTGGGGGGGAAAAAAGCGTCTCCCCGGGCCGAGGTGCCGTCAGCGTGGCGGCTCCACTCGGTGAGCGGTACATTGCAGGTCAACCTTTACTGTTCGCATCAAACGGAACAAAAAAAACAAAATCTGTCAAATTTATAGAACATGTAAATTAACACTGCCAATAAATCATTTCACATTTGCTTCAGATCTACAAAGAAATTACAAAAATGTAACTTTAAATTTGTCTTTAAAAGAGTATAAAACGTCTGGTCGGTGGGGACCTTCACAGGAGAAGGTGAGCCGAAGGTGAGAGGGCGGATGAATTCAAATACACTGAAGATGCAGCTTCATGTTTGACTGTTTTAATTCACCAAGATGTCGTCGGGGGGAGGAAAGACTTTACATTTGACCTTTAGCTACTTCAAATCTTTGCACGTCTGCTTCGTTCCCGCCTTTCAGTGCCTCCGTTGGGTTCTACCCTCCGACGTCTGACGAGGGCACAACAAACGTCGTCCGTCTTCGTCCTCGTGTCGGCGAACGGCGGTCCAGAGTGGCGCTGAAGCCCTCCACTCCCTGCCACAGAAATTTGGCGGCCTTGTCTTCTTTTTGTTTTTTTAAAAATAGCTTTAAAAATCTAGAATTTTGATTATAAAAATATTTCAGAGGGACGTATGTTTATGAAGTCTGAGTCGAACCTTCAGGAGGGCGGAGCCAAAGAATCAGAGCCCAAGAACCAGAACAAGCCAGAACTTTGAAATACGGTTTTCAGAACCAACGTTTCGTCCTTTCCCTCCGAACGCGGCGATTGAGAGCTTAAAACATAATCAGAAGTGCTCGATGTACTCATCGCCGTTTTATCCGACGTCTAAAATTCATATATTCCTCTTTAAAAAATAAAAAATCACCATATCGGGACATAAAAGGTACGCGTGGTGTGTTCAAGGACGTCCAACAATCACACTTAGCAGCATCCATTTATGACTTAATGCTGAAGTTGGTGAAACTGTGTATTAGAGACGTGTTCATGAATATTTGAACAGCACAGCTTCATATTCATACTTTACTCTCATCTAAAGAACAGCGTTGACTCTGCTTTATATCATAGTTCCTCTTTTACTTTCACTTCATAGTATAAAAAAACTGAATGTAAGACTTCTCTAATGGTTTTACTGCAGGAACCAGAGGAGTTGTTCTCGCACTCTGAACGTCAAACTGGGAATTTCTAAATGCATCTTAACTAAACTGATCGTTCAGTTTAATCCTCTGGTCGTATAATTCAGTGACCTCCGTGTGAGAAAGTGTTTCAAAGAGCAAACACCAACAAAATAGTGCACAAACACAAACATGTGCACGATAATAAATACAACCTCTGATTTCTTACGTCCTGCTCAGCTGAAAGCAGAACCAGAAGCTCATCCTTTAGTCTTTAACAGCAGGTTCGGGTGGTCGTCCCTAACATCCAGTCCTGTTATAAATAATCCTGCTTCACTGCTCATTACAGAGGAAACCGCTGGACTCAGTTTTGTCCGTTAATCAACGACAAACACGATAAAAAACGTGGACACCAGGAACAACGTGTCCTCTCAACGGTTGGCTGGCTGTTCTTTGGCTCCGCCCTCCGCGGTTTCAGTCGCTGAGATGTTTTGTGCCTCCACAGCGTTCGTCTGGAGATGTGAGGATGAGCTTTCCGCGAGCAGACTGCAGGGCAGCGTGTGTTTTTGTCGGTGATTCCAATTAGAAGTCATTGATGTGTTTTCCTACATGTACAAACCGCCGGACGCTGCGTGAGACGTTCAGAGAAGTGGAGGGAACAGTCGGCTTCTTGCCAATTTATTGTCACTACTATGGCCAAAGTCCAGAGAGCAGAGCTGCGATTAAAAGCATCCGGATCAAATAGTGCACAAAGGTACTGTTTTAAAGCATCTCGTCGTACATCACCACCCCGCCTCGCCGTGTGGATGCACAACAGGAGTCCAGAGCGAGTCCTCTGGAGAAGACCGACTACTGCATCTTCAAGTTAACCGCACGACCGGCTCGCAGCAGAACTCACACATGGAAACAGAACCGAAAAGAAAAAGCCTTTAGTTTTGCCACATTGGTTGGAGATGGTGACGAGGACGCTGCTCTTCGGTGTTCGGTGTGGATGCGCTCCTCCACCCGCCCAGCCCCGCCCCCTCCCCCACAGATAAAAAATATAAAAACATTGAAACGAGAGATCTGAAATTTAAAAAAAACTAAGTGCCATCCTATTCTGTGGTGGAGAAGTCGATATGTCCGCACGATGAGATCCGACTAGGAACAAAATCAACACTTTTTTCATAGTTTTTCATTTTGATGACGATGAGCATGTTTAAAGATCGAAAAAAGCAAAACAGCTTCCAAATTTTGGTACACATACGGATCTGTAACTTGTTTTTGTTTTTTTGTTTTTTTTGTCTATCAGTTTTTTTTTTCTTCTTTTTTCTCTGCGTCCCTTCTGCGTCTCTCTGAGAGTCTGCACAGACAGAGAGGGGCGCGTCAATCCGTCCGTCCGTCCGTCCGTCCGTCCGTCCGTTCATCCCTGTGTCTGGACCTGCTGTGTCGGGTGCTTGCTTGCTTCCTGTTCCTGTTTCCTGCTTCCTGTCTGTCGGTGGGCGGGGCCGTAAGCGTGAGCAGTACGCAGGGCAGGCAGGGACAGTCATTTGGCTATGTACACATTCATGGTCGGTCCATGGCTTCCAACAAACAGCAGCACTATTTCCGAAGGTCTAATACACACACCTGGAAGAGACGAGAGGTCAACCTGTAGGGCTGGCACCACACCGACCAGGTAAAAGCTGCAGAGCTGCGGCCAAACATGTGGACTTACAGATCCGTCTGACGCACTGGCTCCCACTTTGTCCCCCGCTGCATTCCAGCAAACCTCGAAGATTCCCCCCGTCCCTCTGTAACTGTGGACTAAAGCTCCCGTCTGCACACACCAGAGACACAAGAGTTAACAAAACCTGGAGACAGATGGCTGAGACTTCAGCATCACAACCTGCTGTCCTCTCCTAACCTGTGTATTCCAGATGTGCACGCATTTGTCGAAGGAGCCGCTGGCCAGATGGCGACCGTCCGGGCTGAAAGCCACGCTGTAGACGGGCTCCTGGTGTTTGGTCAGCGTATGGATACAGATGCCTCTGTCCACGTCCCAGAGCCGGACCGTGGAGTCGAAGGATGCGCTGTGGACGCAGACGGGTCAGGACACGTCAGTGGCTGTCGGTAACGCTCATTCCTAGGTCACATGATCTCGCTACACTGAGGTATAAGTGACACACACCTGGCTAGCATGAGGTTAGCACTGGGGTTGTTGGTTCCAGGCCCGGTGGGACTCCATTTGATGGTGTAGATTTCTTTGCTGTGGGCCTGCAGGTCATGGACACACGAGTCCTGCTTCATACTCCAGATCTGAGGACACACAAAACACAAAGAGTCACTGAATACGTCAGCGAATAGCAGCGAAGACGACGGTAGTGAAACTCCATCAGCGCATGTTGGTAAATATGTCCCCGTTACGTACCCTCGAAAACAACGTATCGGCACAATTTGCAGCGGAAGTTTTCCAGGCAGCAGCGTAACGGGCCGATAATCTGGTTGGATCTGTGTTTGCTCATTTGTTGACAAAACTAAGATGGATTTTCCTGAATTTGGTTTTGATTTTTTGAAGATAAGTAAAAATTTGGGGACAACATCGTCTTTTAAAACACATTAAAAGCAGCAAGAGGTCGTTATCGCTCCGTTAAATGTTAAATCTGTACGACGCATCTGAAATCTATTAGAAATTAGAAAATTAGGAAGTTTAGAAGCAGGTGAGTTGAGACTTCAAACCACATCAGCCTTTCATTTCAGCCTGAGCTCACCTTCAACGTCATGTCGTCTGAGCAGGAGGCGAGCAGGTTTCCTGTGGGGTCCCACTTGATTGCATTTACTTCGTTCTGGAGGCAAAGAAAAGAGCGATGAAGGAGTGAAGGAGAGTCGCTGCTCCAAACGCATTCACATCAAATATTCATGTGAACGGTGACACAAAAAGTTTGTACGATTTATCTTTTGGCTGCACGTCGTCACCGGGGACCAGTTACACACACACACACACGCACACGCACACGCACACGCACACCTACACACACACCCACACACCTACACACACACCTACACACCTACACACACACACACACCACTTACTGTGTGTCCCTGGAATGTTTTGATGGGTCTGTCTTGTCCCAGTTTACAGACGTGGATGCACATGTCTGTACTACAGGAGGCGAACGTATTGTTGCTCTGCCAGTCCACGTCTAGCGCTGGAGCTGTGGGAGACGGAGACGAAGATGAAGACGAAGAAGAAGCACAGACATGACGACACAGTGAGCTGTAAAACTGATCCGTAGATTACAAGCAGGGATGTTCTCCTCCTACCTGAATGGAAAGGAAACTGTTGTTTGGCTTCTCCTGTGTGGGCGTCCCAAATGATTGTAGTCTGTCAGGACACATGGACAGTTTAGAGGGACGGCACAGAACAGCATTACTACTGAAGGAGTGGATGTGAAGCTACTTAAGGTGAGCAGGGTCAAAGAATAAAAACAGACATCACCATGAAGCTTCTCTAGTTGATTACTGAGATTATTTTTGTGCCAGAGGTTTGCAGAGTTTTCATTTTTAAATGTGCACCTGAGGCGTGATCGATCTAAATGTGTTTGTATTCATGTCTAGACCATGTGTTGGAGTCAGAGGTTTTCACAGACAGGGTTTTTCATGTAAACCTTCAGAGTTCAGATGGGACCAGTCTGGCAGAAGGCCTGCTGTGGAAGCACAGTCTCAGAAATTGACCTGACTATGAAATAACGGTGCTTTTGTCTGTCGTGTCACAAGTTAAACAGGTTGATTATAGAGCATGTGAGGGTTTACCTTGTCTACTCCTGCACTGAGGATAAAATTTCCTTTTTTATTCCACTTGAGGGCGAAGATGGGACCTTTGTGTTGGCCCAGAGTACTGGCCAGGTTACCTGGTGAGAGAGGCGACAACATCCGTCTCAAAATGTCTAAAACAAGCAGGTTTGAAGGATCTAATTATGACAAAATAAGAGGAAATCAGACACAAAATACACTGTAAACAACAAAAATGATCTCATAGCAATAAGTAAAGCTGCCTCTAGGTGGCAGCATTGCTCCAGGCTGAGCTGAACCATGTGGCTCACAGACTTGGCAGATGACTCCAGTTCCCACAGCTGCAGTTTCCTCAGGAAACAAACTGCTGTAACACTTTATGCTCCGGCTTAATAAATCAAAGCCATCTCACCGTCTTTCGTCCATATTCTGGCGAAGCCGTCGTAGGAGCCTGTTGCTAGCAGCGTTCCCTCGCTCTGTCGGAGAGAGAGAGAGAGACGGGTTAACGTGAGCGGCTGCATTAAACTAAAGCTCATCAGCTGCTGTTATTAGAGAGGCCTGAGCTTCCATCAGCGTGGACGCTCTCCAGGAAATTCTTTGCTCTGCCTCAGATTCACACACATTATGTGGACATCACACCTTAGCTGCTCAGTAGCAAATACAGCTTCCAACCCAGCGCTGTTTGATTGCATTCATTTGGAAAACATCAATTAAAACTAATTTTCTCTGATTGATCTAATGAGCAATGCTGCTAATGTACGGATCTTCTGCAGATTTTAGTCTCTCCACTGACAGCATGTTGCTGAGGGTCTGAGCACAGGACTGTCCATGATCCAACAAAGTCAAAGTGTTTTTCTAAATAAAAATGATGGAAACCATTAAAAACAATCAGACTCTTCATGAAAACCTCCCCGACAGCGCTTTGGTATTTAGAAAGGTTTCAAGTCGTCCCACAACTTTCACCTGGTCTCATGCTGAGAATTAATACTCCCACGCAGGGTGACTCACGTGTCACATCTAGTGTGTGTGTATTAGTGTGTATTAGTGTGTATTGGTGTGTGTTAGTGTGTGTTGGTGTGTATTTGCGTGCTCACATTCCAGTCTAGTGAGGTGACGTCTTTGTTGCTGGGAACGTCCTGCCCTCCCTCTCGTATGCAGTGCCTCAGGACCAGCTGCGTGGAGCTGCTCGTACTGTTCTCGCTCAGGTTCCAGATACGAGCCGTCGAATCACCGGACCTGACACACACACACACACACACACACACACACACACACACACACACTTCAGATTGTCTGAAATAGCTGCCGAGCCTCCGTACCGACACAGAACACTGTTATGTAATGTCAAATCGTCTCTGAAGAAAGAAAAACTGGTTTTACTCATAATATGGGTCCCTGTGAATGCTGAGCAGATTATGTCTTCAATCTAGTGAGCGAAGTTTATCTACTCAAATACAGCTTCAGGGTAATCTATTACTACTTCGTCCTTCCACTACATTCCTGGGGGTAGTATTGTACTTTCTACCACATTCATCTGACGGCTTTCTAAGACGACAACACAGTAGATTACAGCACAAGCTTTTAAAATGCAAAGTTAAAGACAAAGCCAGCGTGTAGTCGGGCTCATGTTTCAGAAGTTAACAGCTTCACCACTAAACTTCTCACATGGTTCCATTTTGTTAGATGTTCCAATGAGCTAATATCTAAAAAATAAATTAATGATCACAGAAAAATTTAAAACAGATTTGTGCATCAGAACGTCTTTAATTTCGCAGTAATCCTGAGACAATCCTCAGATGCTCTCCTTGTATGGAGTTAAACCAGCTCCACCTGCAGCAGCTACAACAGTCGTGTCGGTACTTTTGCTCTGAACAGTTCCTCCTTCGCTGCTGACGGTAATCCGAGCACGTCTTTGGCAGCTAAAGATGGTGTTTTGATTACCGTTGACACAGCTGATGACATTTCTCTTTGGCTGGAACAGTCTATCCACAAAAAGTCAGAAACTACAGAAGCGGCCTTACGTCGGATCGGAACACCTCCTCTGATCTTAGGAGGGCAGCAGAACGAGGCTGGAGGACTCACCCTGACGCCAGCAGATCACTGACTGGGTTCCAGGCACAGATAAAGACCTCCGACTCGTGGCCCCTCAAGACCATGGCCTTGTTCTGAGGGATCTCCACGTCTCCGTCCACCTCCATCAGGTCTGCGTGGTTGTCTGAGAAAACACAGAACACAGTCAGCTACGTCCAGTAATAATAATATAATATAACAAGAATAAAAAATGCAATTTGACCAAAACACAGCTCTCAGCTGGAGGCTCATGATGCAGCTGCACCTCCACCTACAGCCTCCTGCAGCCTCTCCTGTGAAGCTTTGAGGACGTGAACCTCTCGTTTCCACACAAGCTTTCTGTTTGTTACTACGCACCCCGTTGCAAGTGCAAGGAAACGCTCGTCTTCACAGACGCTGCATCAGTTTGTACCATCGGGTTTCATGGAGTAAGCACATGGAGCATCACCATGACAACAACAGCACCAACCATTCACAGTGAGGAGCTCCACCTGCCTCGTCTGGGGCCAGTTCAGTGACTTTAGTGGCTTAACTTTGCAAAGTTCTCCCACAAATCTCGTCACTTGTCTCACTTTCTGTCTCTCTTTTCGTTCACTATTACCCTGAGGACTAGGAATGCCTCATCATGTCTGTGGAAGCTGGGCTTAATACATACATGTTGGAATGAAATCAATGCCAGAGTTAGACAGTCTGACAGATTATTAATAAACGAAGCCCAGCGTGGTGAATAAGGACGTTATTCCTGAATGTACTAAACAGCTGTTGGGTCCTTTTATTCTTTAGTTTTGTTCCCTGACTGAGCCCGATGGTTGTCCGTCATGTCTCCACTCTGTGGCTACAAACATGAAAGATCTGACTGTTGTTTCTGTACACGTTGTCCCACAATGCTCTCTACACAGTGAACTTATTGGTGTTAAAACCCGTGAACTGCTTCACGTTTACTCTGTTAGCATGTGCTAAAGCAGCTAAACTATCTACTTCATAGTCATAGTGGAGCAGCTGATTGGTCCAGGCTCTGGCGGCCACTGACTGCGTTTAGATGTGAACTACAGATCAACTTGTTTTACTTCACGCCCGATAAAAGGCAGCTTCAGGTATCCGGCGATCACCTGTCCCGCCCGTGAACGCCTCACTCACTTGCTAAGGCGTGGGCTCCGTTCTCCTCCCCGTTGGCAGTATTCTCTCCGTTCTTGGCGTTGCCGGCGATGCTGCCCCCGGTGGCCGACGCCGGCGCTGAAGCTGCGGCCTGCTGCTGGGCCATTTTGTCCCGGTAGGCCTGCTGCCTCGTCTGGACCACGTCCGGCATCACCGCATCGATCAGGGACAGGGACTCGATGGGCCGGCCGTCGAATAACGTGCCGTCCTACGGAGGGAGAGACGCGACCGGTTAGACGGGAGCAGACGATTCTCTTTCTATATCTATCTTTGAAAAGACATATTTAAAAATGACCAACATCACACAACTTGTCAGAGCCAGAAACTATAAAAACAGACAGAGCTTCCAGATTTTCAACTTTACACTAATTCTTAAATGTGTGATGAGTGGTTCCTTCAGGAAACTTAAGCAAATCTGACCCTAAAGTCGTGACATTTATCTGTGATCTCATTGCAAAGCTGAACTGCAGGTTGTGTTTACGCAGAGCAGAGAGACAAATATGGAACAAAATTATGGATGTAAACAGTAAATATCTATATAACGTAGAGCCACCGGTACCACTGCAAACACTCACACTGTCAGGTTTTGTTGATTTTTGTAAAATAAGTCATTGCAGAAATTGTGGCTTTCTGACAATATAATTTAGTCACAACAGGCGGTCTTAAGTTTGCTCCGCTTGTAGCTCCGGTTGTGCCGTTTCCATGGAGCTCCAGGACTTTCTATAAATATAAAAGGAGCTCACGGTGGGTACAGATGTGACTACAGTAAACACCCAGGGGTTTGTTGGGAGCTCAGAGGGTTAAAACAGGGTTAATCCAGGACAGCAGATGTTACAGATGTAGGTATATTCTTTGGGGTTGTCCCATGTTGTTGTTTTCTCAGAAGGAGGTTCTAAAAAAGATCCACAAGCTCAAACAGCCAGAGTGTGTTGTTTAGGGGATAAAGCTTTCTGCCTGCAGCCAGGCTCAAAAAACAAAAAAAACAAAAAACAACTTCAAAGCCCAAAATAACAAAGACGAGAGTGTGTGTCCCACCTCATTGATGCTGACTTCAGCCTCCACGTACTGCAGGCCCTTCTGGATGATGCTGATGAGGGCAGCAGGGGGAACCAGAGCACCATTGATGTTGGACTGGCTGATGTGACTCTCTATACCAAAGGTAAACGCTGAGTGGGAGAACCCTGGAGAGGAGGAGGAGGAGGAGGAGAGAGGTGAGGACACAGAGTGTATTTTTACTTTCTCCCTCTGGAAGGCGATGACATACTGTACATCACAGCCGCTGTTGCTCCGCTTCGCTTCTAACACAAATTCCTGCGCCGTCATAAATCCGTCACTTTCACTGCAACTTCTTCTTTTTTTTTTTTTAAGATTGTTGAGCATTTCTCAACCGTCCAACAGAGTTTTTTTTTTGTTTCTGCCACTCAACACAGTCACCAGATAGCTGGACTGAATGTTCACAGTGTTTCTGTTCTCTGGTCACGATGCTAAAGAAACGATAGCTGTGGCGCTCTTTAAATGTTGTGGGAATTAAAACACATGTGACAAACAAATGGCGTCCAGATGATCGTGAACAACTATCAGTCTGCAACCGTCCATGAACATTTGATTAGTAAATGGACCATGACTTCAGTGGAATTCCTATTTTTAACTTACATTCACAAGAATGCCAAAGTTTAAATATATTCAAATTCATGCTACGCTAACCACTGAGTACAGGATGTGTGCGCTAAAAGCTAACAGTCTCTATTATCTGGCTTTTACGTACTGAAGATCAAAATATCAGCGACCAGATTTTTTTTCTCGCCATCTGTGTCGTACGGAGCAGATGAAGGTTATTTATTGTCCCACTAGTCTCTCACAGTCAGACCGTCCTGAACACTTTTCTATCATTCTGCTGGAGGAAGGGGAGAAAATAAAAAGCTCTGGTCTGTTTGCATTTATTCAAACCAATCACAGTCGTATTGAGCGGATTCTGCAGCAGCAGATTCTCCTGAAAACGACGTCCGACAAGTTATTTTGGTGGAACTTTAGCGGGCTGCTGTCATTAATTCATCCAGAACTTCAGCGTGTAGGTGCTGTTTACCGTAATAAAGGGGATTTTTGAAGATGGTTATAGACATAAACCCACAATCTACATCCTGTGAGTAAGCTGCTGGATTATTTTTGACTCATTTTCTGTCTGAAAAACACCAAACTGTGGAACCAAATCCGTCCCGATCGGCGCCTGATGTTGCTAGCAGTGTATTCTAACCTGGCATCTTTCCCATTTATGTGTGGATCTCTGAGTCATGCTTATGGAGGAGAGCAGCAGCACAGGACTGTGTCTAAAGGGGAGACTAGCGTGAGCTCCCCGCAGCTTTGGAGTTTGACTGAGAGTAAACACAGAAATTAGCCGTCTGGAGCAGCCATTTTGCTAACCGCATTAAGGATCTCCATCTGGAGGAACCTGCCAGATGACATGATCACTGCTGCTTTGTTTACATGTGGTAAGCTTTCCATTTAGCGTGCAGAACGTCGACTTGTCGTAGCAGCTTCTCCTGAGCGTTCAGTCCTTCCAGTCGATGGAGGTGAAACACCGTCTTCCAGGATGTTCGGTCAAAGCTGCAGGTCCATTAGTTGTAGTTCCACGGATGGGATTCCTCTTATCCACGGACGCATCCCAGTCCGCCGCCAGCAGGTCCCACAGTTTGCAGCAGAACGGCCAGCGCAGGAAAACCACCAGTTTCCCGACGAGTGCTGTCCTCCTGGATGCCTCCATCAGGTCTGCGGACTCCCAGGAAACACAGCCAACCATCGAAACCGAAACAAGCTGCAGCCGTCCTCGTAGCTGTCCTGTGTGAGTGTGAGGCCAGCGTCACCAGGTGGACATCACTGTGAGGTACGTCCACTCCAGAAGGGTTCATTTCTGTGTTTACCTTCAGACCGATCAGCCGTCACTCTCCTCTCTTTATTGTGAGGTAATAAAAGCGTGTTCAGCAGACAGACTGTACTGTTTGTCCTGAGCTATACACTCGTGTTTATGGTGTCAGTCTCCTTAAACAACTCTAGATTCTGCCTTTTATGCAACAAGCAGGCTGTGTTGTGTTCACACGGCCTCCGAGTCGACCTGTCAGACGGGTCAAGTGGTGCTGAATGGACCCGCTTTATGTCACATACAAAAAAACGACATCGATTTGTCCATGAATACAAATGACACATAGAAATGACAACAACAGAATCTGAAAAGAAATCATTCAACAATTAAAAGCGTCTCCAGTGGAGACGGTGAAGGATGAGAGCGTGTTACCTGACTCCTGTAGGTATCTGTAGACCAGGAAGTTGACCTCATCACTGCTAATGCTCATCTTTACTCCTGTTACACCATGAGGTCAGCACGCACACACCGAGCCTGGAGAACAGAGGAAGCTTCGTCAGTGGCGCTAAACACAACACACACAACACATGATGCAGTTTTTCTTCATCAGACTGTGACGCCTGCTGACGTGGCGCACACCAAAGTCTGCTCTGGTTTCGGGTTGACTGGGTGGTTTCTGCTCAGACAAATCTAGCGGGTCTTCATTTCTGCGCCCTTGTGTGGTTTGCAGTCACACGTGAGAGCAGGTAGAAGAGGAGGCGGCTTCTCGCGGTCTTCACAAACAGACAGAAGGAGCAGCTGGTGGACAGTTATCCAGCGCTCGGCTCCACTGGTGTTCAAACAAAGAGCATCACCTCTTAAACTTGTAACCGTCCTCCCACATAACCTCAGGAAACGCTGATTTGTTTTTTTACAGACATGCGTAGGTGATGATGTAACGCTGATCAGCTGTTTCTGTGTCAGGATGGTTCACTTTTCACTTTGTTTTCCATTTAAAATCATAAATCGAAGCAACTTCAGACGACGTTTCTGCCTTTAATGTTGTGTTTAGGCTGCAAATGAACATTTAAATACTATATTTATTACTTTAAAGCTCTGGTGGTAAATATCTTGTTTACATTCCTGCTAATGATGCTCAACTTCCCCTACAAGATGAAGAAATGTGAAGTTATTCTTTCTCCAAATACCGTCGTAGCTCCCTTTCACACCTCCATCTAAATAAAGAAAGAAATACGCTGCTACAGGTGGGACAGCAATCAGAACGTGATCGGATTGGACAGACTCGTGCAGCATTTGGACTCCAGCCAGCGAACATAAAATCTGTCTAACAAGTAGGAAAGTCAACAGCTCTGCGTTCCACCTGGAGAAAGTCGGGGTGTAACCTTCAGACGTGCCGTTCTCAATACGTGAGACTCAGAACCTTCAGTAGGAGATGAGACTTCCTCTGTCCGGGGCACCACGTGGTCCAAATGCTCTCCAGCACGAGCTCCACATCTCCACACCGGTTGTTGTCTATCAGCTACGGCGCCTGAGCAAACCGGTGTGGCCTGAACTCACGCAACACATTTAAGTTCTGCAAAACTCAGAATGTCGCTGTGACTCCAAGACTGAGATTCTAACCGAGCTGTGATGTTTGTGGGTTCCCAGCTGAGAAACACGTTAGCATGAAGCACTCGAGCCTCCCCCAGCAGGACCACGTGCCCCGCCACAGTGAAAACACTGCTCAGGTCCTGCTCAAGACAGAGTCCAAGGTGTTGACTCGGTCTCCAGATCCCCAAGATCCTAATCTGATCCAAACTCTCAGGACCCCCCTGCCAACGTCCTGGAGCCGGACACCACAGAACCTACAGAGCATTAGGCAGCTAGTTTTAATGCTGTGGCTGATTTTGTGTATTTTATTTCCAGGTATAAATGCGGAGGTGGTAAAATAAGACGCCATTAACCACAATCCAGATACTAATCACGTATTAATGTGTGAAAATGGAATCCTGGTTGATTATTCAGACTCAGCTGGAACCAAATGCAACAAGATTCATGGAGCATGAGCAGTTCGTCTCGCAGCGTCTCCTCAACAGCAACACATCGATCAACACCGGGTGAGTTAACGTTACCCACAGGTTTATATACTAGTCAAGCAGATTTAAAGAAAACTTTAGAAATGTCACAAAAGAAAGACCAACAGTAGAAGAAGAAACAGGCAAAACTCTGTCCATCTATGACAGAAACATGGAAAAGGTGTTCCCATCTGCCATGACGTTTGTGGGAATTAGTCTTTTACAGAGTTTTGTGAGGCTCCTGTAAACTACTTTGCGTACCGATCGACTACAAGACGCTCAAATGCAAAACACGAGGAGGAAGGAAATCAGCATTGTCGCCTCCTGCCGCCCGGGCGCATGGCGGGGGTCTCGATCCGACGCCGCTTCTGTCTGCGAGCTGCAACTTTAACAACAACTGTCGGGGAGCCAGAGAGCAGATTCCAAACAAGGCCCGGCTCAAAGCCCGCTTCCCCTGAGAATAATCAGCCGAGTAAAGCTCAGCGTGTGCAGCCCCTCTCCCAGGAGGAGGAGGCTCCGTGTGCATTTAGTGGCATTTAAGTGGATGAAACGCTGCCTCCTGGGTACTGTGAGCACAAGGTTACGGTTCTCTTCTCAGGATGTCGGATGTTCGTCGCCCGGAAGCGGCTGAACGTCCAACATGACCCGCGGCCGTAACGCTGCAGAACCCAGGGAGGGGCGGCGGGATCGGACTGAGACCGGAGACCAGGATCAGTAAACTGTAGAATCTCACACGGCGATGCTATCAGCTTTGCACAGGTAATTAGAAGAGAAGATTAATTAATGTTTAATGATAACCTAATAAACCGGTCACAGGATACACGCTGCACGCGGCGCTGTGTGAACTCAGAGTGTCTGGTTCTGCTCATCCAGCGTACAACAACAACAACAACAAGACTCAGAGCCGGTTGCATCACTTCCACAGGAGACTCTGTGGAGCAGGTTGGGGATCTGTTCTGACCCGGGAGACGGCAGCAGCAGAAGAAGAGCTGGTGTTGTTTTCGGCCATGTTGGCCCAGTGACTCTTATCTGTGCCTGGACCCTCCGTCTCCACCGAGAGACGATCATGTTCTCCACGGAGACGACCGTCGGCAGGCAGATTGTTCTGAGGGGCAGAGATGCAGCAGCAGCAGGTGGACAAAATAACAGAAACCACCTCCTGCAGAGAAGAATCCCATCTAACTTTAGCCCAGTTACAGAGGCAGCAGCGTTTTGTCATGTTGAAACGAGGAGCTGCTGCTGCTGCCCCATGACTCCCAGCACTGCAGACACACTGCACTGAATTAGGCCTATTATTAAATCATAAGCAGCTGTCGGGCTGCTTTCACTTCCACTTTACAACAGCAGCATACTGCAAACATTACATTCAGCTGCCTACCAACTTTTCAGAACATGCCACGCCCCTGCACTTTGTGGCCAGCCTGTGTTTACGACATGATGTATGAAAATACCACAGCGGGGCAAAAATAAAGTGCTCAGAGCAGGGTGGTTTCAAGACATGTGACCGGCTCCAACACGGACCTTCAGGATCACATCTGACCGATATCTGTGGGCCGATATCTGCCTGGCACGGATATATCCACATACACGACGTCTGATATGAAAACTTTCTTACAGAGCAGGACGCAGAATAAGATGCTTGGGGCTATTTACCGAGCTGGTAAATAACCCCAAGCATCTTATTCTGCGTCCTGCCCAATCCCAATGAGATTTCAAACAGCCCAAGTTGTTGTTTGTGGTTAGTTTTGAATTAGCAAATTCTCACACGCTGAACTAAGATGATGAACATGGTTATGTTCTCTTTTTTGGGGGGCATTTTGGTGCGATTTCTCAAAGTGACATGCAGCAAAGATCTAGCTGGCAGACGGAAAGTCTGGCTCATTGACTGCAAGTGATTCATGCATTGTCCATTGTTTATAATACTCTGTCTGCAGCACATGTAGCAGAGCACTGACTGAGCAGATGGTGGTGTGTTTAGGAAAAGCTGCCAACTAGTTTGAGGAATAACTTGATGGAAACAATGACCTTATCATTTTTAAATTATCAATATTACTCCAACATATATGTGTAACTATAGAAAATCAGAATTTTGGCGCTGTAATATTAGGCACACATATTGGAAGCAACCATTCAGGAAATGATGCAACACAACACAGAACAGCAACAAACGACAGCATTAAATATCCACAGAGCTGAATCAACATGGACCCAAACAACACACTGATGTAACACCAAACACACCTCATCATGTGTTAGTTCTCAGAATAAAACAACTCCGGATCAACAGGAGAACGTCTTGTTATTTTCAGGTGCTGCATCAGAAAGCTAAAAACTCTCCACGCTCACTCGAGGAGGTTTTTGACTTGACAGGAGCTGCTGGGAGACAGAAACACCTTTTGTGACTAAGTTCAGACGTAGTGAACGTTTAACTCGTGACAGACCGGCTGTGTTTACATCGCTGTGGCTTCTGACAAACGGCACTGAAACCGACACAAACAGTAAAACAGCAACTGAGCTTGACGCCGTATCACCACTGAAACAGCAACTATTCCTTCTACTGCAAAAATAAGACAAGAAGACTTTTTAAAACATCCCTGTGGTAAACTGTTAACAAGGTAGAAAATGATCAGGTGACAACACGAGGTGGCGAGTCCTCATTGTACCTGACAGACGGTCTCACTCTGCGTCTAGTCCTGTATCCATCTATCTCCATCCCTCTATCTATTAGGCTCCTCGGTTAACCAGCTCCGAGGTGCAGAGGATCGATGCTCGGTGCGTCTGCAGCGTATTACCGGCATAAATCACCCGATGCAGCGTACAATTATGTGCCTTAATTCAAAACAGCTGCTTCCACGCCGACATCGCCTTAAAACAACAGCAGCACAGCTAATTAGCGGCAACATCATCTAAAAGCTTAATTTCACCAAGTTGCCTGGTCTGGGATTCGGCCTCAGGACCGTCACTGGTGGGCCTTTAAAAGTTCTGATGGTGGATTTGTTTGGACGGTGAAGATGTCAGGGTTCAATATGAGAGAGGTGGAGATCAGCATAGAGGCGCTAAACAAGCAAACTGTCAAATGAAGATTATTTCTAAGAAGGATCCGGCGTCATGCAAAGACGACTCCTCAAAACCAGGAAAACACTCAAAATTATTTTCTCCTGACTGAGAATTTTGTTGAAAGAAAACCAAACAATGATCTCTTTGTTAGCACTGTTTCTGCTACCAGTTGAGCTAATTGTGCCCCGACCAGACGGAGAACCAACCAGGTTCTGTAAAACAGCAAAAATAAAACCTGCCTCAGCTGCTGGTCCTGGAGCCGTCAGCTGAAACCAACAGTGGCGTCGACAGAGTCTGGACTTTCTGGCTGAACTGCAGGCTGTGTTTATACAAACACATTAAAAATCCAAGTGGTACAATATCTACGTTATGTGCAGCCATGTTTTTATCCAGTAGGTGGTGACATCTGTGGACATTTGGAAAAATTCTGAAGATGCTGATTCCAGGTTTGTA